TATATATATAGGTTTATTTTCCGGTATTCTTTCCCACATCAGAGGAAAATCTAGACCTCAGCTCGCCTGTTAAATGATTCCTGCAGCTCAATACTGACACCGTGTGGTCAGAGATGGTGCTGCGTTTTCCTTTTCCTATTAAAAACTGATTTATTTATCTTTGCTAATTAAGGTTTGCCATTCCAAATGAAAAGAGTGGAGAGGATTGCATTGTAAAGCAATGCATTGTATGACAGACCCTTCAGCTGATGTTCGGTGTGTTTGAGTCATTGTGTTTTGGGCTGTCGTTTTTTTTAATGACAATAATGTGACAATGTGTCATTTACCATGAAAGGAAATCATCTGCTTGTATAAAGAAATTACTCATCCAATTCTGAAACAACATCTAATCTAATCCCTGAGGGAATCAGAGATATATTTAGCCAAGAGTACTCATCGTGCTTGAGGGGTTTTTTCAGTTGTTTCTGACCACATTAGGAGGAAGACATGGGTTTGTTTGTGTTTCTTTTACTCTGTTTTTGTTCCTCTTTTATGCTTTAGAAATTGTGAAAATTACATTTAGTAAAAAAATCCAAAAGTGACCCATACAGACAGAAACAGAAACTAACAACTAGATTTTTGAGTGTAAATTTAAACCCTTTAAAGCTTGGTTGAGCTGTTTGCTTTCACCACCTTTAACTCATGAAAACATGACAGARAATTCAAACCTTCTTGTTCGTGTTTTATTATATTTTCCCTGCAGTGACAGTGAGCCAGTGAAAGCACCTGGATGTCACATCTTCCCTTTTTGTGTGTGTGAAGTTCTGCTCAGTCCAAAGTGTTGTAAAGAGGAAGTGATGACACCCTGAACTCAGAGGACACAAACTGAGCAGCTGTTGTTTTGAGCCTCAGTCGGACCCCGTCAACCTGCAGAACTTCAGCATGGAGGACATCTATGTCAGACATGTGGAGCTGCTGGGCTTCGAGAAACGCTTCTTCCCAAGTCAGCACTACGTAAGTCTGAACAGATTCACAAAAAGCTGCTGTAAAGTCTTCAGATCTTAAACAGCTCAAAACAAACGAGTTCACCAAGAGAAAGGAGGTTTTTAYTCTAACCTGTGGCCTGCAGGTGTACCTGCTGATGGTGAAATGGAGCGACCTCGCAGAGAAACTCATCTACAGGACGTATCCTGAGATCCACACCTTCCATGTCAGTTCCATGTTTAAACCTTCTAAAAGCTTCAACATGAGCAGCATTTGACTGATGTTCTGTTCACAGAAATCACTAAAGGAGATGTTTCCTATCGAGTCTGGACAAATCGAGAAGAAGGACAGAATAATCCCTTCACTACCAGGTAAAAAAATGGATAAATTTTTTAACTGTTTTTGTGTTGTAAACTTCATGAAATCACTTTTCYGATGATTGCCCTGCTGCAATCCTGTTTCAGGAAGCACCTGTAATTAGCAAAGCCCTGTGGTGATATTCACTTCTGCTTTCTGTTAAAACTACAGTAAAAAAACAGATTCTGTTTAAAGCAGAACACATCTGAGTTATTGTCAGTTGTGTTGGCTTGATTTAAAGTTTCTTAGAACCCATTGGTTCATATTATTAAGGCTGCAACGATACAGAAAATTCACGATTCGATTCAGTTCGATACTTTAGTCTCATGGTTCAATATTTTGTAAGAGAAATGTCCTTCTTAACTTGTAATTTATTTTAATTAATTATGAACATTTGTTTAACCTCAAAAGTAACATTTTTTAATTAAATTTTAAGTTTCTCAGTGGATCTGTGCTCCACAGTGCAGTCTAGGAGGAGTAGTCGAACACAGATCCACTGATCCTTCAACACAGCATCTTCAGAAGACAWGYTGATAAAATAAAACTTTAAAATCTGTTTTGTTCCATACATAACGTGTACTGAACKTTTCGATACAGATACATGGACTGATGCACCCCTAATATATTTGTATAAACCTTTATTTTAACAAAATGTCAAAGAACTTTGATAAAACCAAAACATGACACAAATTGCTTAAAACAGAAGTTGATTAGTCTTTCAGTTCAGTTTTTGGTTAGCTGTGGCGGCCATCTTGAATTGCTGAGGATGCTCAATAAATGGTTGCCTCCAGAGAATTCATGAAAACGCAGCATCACATCACTGTGACAATRAACCAAATACATAAAAACATAAAAAATACTCTGTTTCTGAGCTTCTTTAAAACAACAGACATGAAATTTGGACATTTGTCTTTTTTTAATTCATCAGTGCTTCTGATCATTTATTTTTCACGACTTGTAACAAGCTGTTCTAAATATTCAGTATTTGGAAAAAACTAAGGCAGACACTGGACTCGACATCCCTCTTGTTTACTGACAGTGGCGCCTGCAGAAATTTTTTTGGGGGGGCCATAGGGGGCCACTGAAAAACCAGGGGTGGCACACTAAAACTAATATCTGTAAAAGAAAATTTATGATGTGTTTGTAAAAATGACAAATTGAAAACTATGGCAATAAAGAGCTATATACTCGCCAACAAATGTTCAATTTGTAATTTCACAGATAATTTCACTGATTTTATGACATTCAKATACAAAAAAGGAGTAAGTATTTGTAATGTTGGGGGGATCCACTGGCAGGGTGTCTGGGGGTCCTCCCCCAGAAAATTTTTAAAGAAATAAATGCCATTTCCTGCATTCTGGTGTATTTTAACAGGTTGGATTTTTACCTACATAGGAAAACACTTGTGAGTTTTCTATAGGTAAATTGAAATAAATTTATTTGTTAAACAAGAGAAACACTGGATGAACTAATGTTTTATGGTAAATGTGGGGGTTTAAATGAATTAAAATTTAAATTTTATGGGGACAGTTCCCTTCAAAAATGATTGTCTTTTTATTTAAAAATGTCAAAATACATATTTTAAAGACATTTATAAGGATCGAGCTTTTTTAAAATTTAAAGCCATCACCTCTTCTATGTATTTTAAAATTTTTATTTGCTTGTTGATGTTTACTTTTGTGAAGAAAAACTGTGATTATAAAACCCCAAAACTGGAAATGAAGACTAAAACAAGCACAATTACAAACTACATCTACTGTAGTGTTATCCCAAATTATTAAGTTATTTGCTTTTTATGTCGTATAATAAATATGACTTTGGTCTGTGAGAGAAAACTGGAGTACCTGGAGAACAGGAAGTTGATCTAACAACCTTCTTTCTTAGAGGCAACATGTTGCTCTACCAACTGTGCCACTGTACTGCCTCATTTTATATTTATTATATAATTATTAAAATTATTTAATTAATATCCATCCATCCATCCATCCATTTTCTTCCGCCTATCCGGGGTCGGGTCGCGGGGGCAGCAGCTTCAGAAGGGAGGCCCAGACCTCCCTCTCCCCAGCCACTTCTTCCAGCTCCTCCAGGGGAACTCCAAGGTGTTCTCAGGCCAGCCGAGAGACATAGTCCCTCCAGCGTGTCCTGGGTCTTCCTCGGGGCCTCCTCCCAGTGGGACGTGCCCGGAATACCTCACCAGGGAGACGTCCAGGAGGCATCCTTACCAGATGCCCGAGCCACCTCAACTGGCTCCTCTCGACGTGGAGGAGCAGTGGCTCTACTCTGAGTCCCTCCCGGATGACCGAGCTTCTCACCCTATCTCTAAGGGAGAGCCCAGCCACCCTGCGGAGGAAACCCATTTATTTAATTAATATTTGATTAAAATATATCTATGAATATAACCTCCTGAGAACCTCCATCTTTATTTGAGAACATTGGTTTTAGACTGGTCTGGCTGTCCTTATTCAGAGGAGCTACATTTTAATTTTACTTAAAAATTTTAAATAAATATAAATTAATGTTTTTAACTCTTAATGGTAAAAAAATCAGTGTTTGTTTTTATATTTATGAGGTTCTGTTCCTAAACAGGTAGAGGAGTTGGACAAAGAAAAACCTGGGTACTCAAGAGGATAAAACTGGGGGGACACTAGCCAGCTTATTCACAGGGGGGCCATGCCCCCCCCCCCTGCTGGTGCCCCTGTTTACTGAAAACACAACAAAAGTCAGAAGTGAAATTAGCAGCTGAAGGTGACTGTGAGGTTTGAGGGGCTTTTTTCTATTTTTGACTTCTTTTAGTTTCACTTTTTCAGCGACGGCCAGGTGTCGAGTAAGAAGTTCGAGGTTCTCCGAGTTGCTTCATGAAAACAGAACTTCAGCTTTACACAACCTCGTAATGAAACAGTTACTAAACTCCTGGTTGCAGGATGGAAAAGGAGAAGCAGAAAAAAAACCTCAGATCTGATGCAACTGCAACTTTCTGTTGAACCTGAAATGCAAACTAGTTTTAAAATAGGTTTTGGTTGTTTAATGGCATCAATTTCTGTTAGCTTTAGAGGGGAAAATGTACAGGAAGTACTCTGGAGATACCCATGGATGAAAAGTTTTTAGYGTGTTTTGTCTCACAGCTCAGTGAAGTCTTCAGACTTTTACAAAATAAAGGTAATAATGTGTCCAGAAAGATTATTATGTAAATATCAGTCCAACCTTAAAATGCAAATCTACAAATTCCTTCAAATCTTTTGTTCACCTTTCTCCTGAGAGATCAATTTTTAAATCATAATCATAAAGATAAAAAAACATAAAAAAACATCTGGTTCATGCTGTCAAATGCACTTTTTAAAAAGCTTTCAGTGTTAAAACGTCTCACCTGAAGCTCCACTGGTTCTGTTTGTGTCTGCAGCTCCTCGGTGGCTGGACAGTGAGAAGTCCAGAGAAGACAGGAAGTCCACCTTGGCCGAGTACTGCCAGTCGCTCGTCAACCTGCCGCCTCACATCTCCCGCTGCAAACAGCTCTCCAGCTTCTTCAAAGTGCGACCCGAGGATGAGAACCCTCCTGCACCGAACACGTCAGTTGATCGTGCACATCAGTGTCCATCTGTGGGCAGCAGCTTATCTGAATAACAAAACCTTCTGCCAACAGGCTGAAAAGAAACGAGACGTTTGTGGAGTCCAGGGAACTAACAAGAGGCACCGCGTCTGGTTAGAGTTTTGATTTTTCCTCTAAAAGCCTTTTATACATGTAAACTTTGTGGGCCTGATCTTCAGAATGAGCTGTTTTTGTTGGGTGAAGCTGTGATGTGATGAATGACACGGACTCTGTTTGCAGAGATTTCTGGCCCCATCATCCTGGACACGTACAGGGTCATCGCAGACCTGGACAAAACATCAAAATACGAGATAGCCCTGCACACCGGAGACCTCGTGGAAATTGTGGAGAAAAGTCAGAACGGTTAGAAAAATAAAACCGATGAAAGTTGGTCGTGCTTTTACTTTTAGTTTTCTTCTGCCTTTTCTTATAGCTTTTTGTTACAATAATCTTTTAGTAAGCATTTATCTCCTTTGAGCTTTTAGCTTGTATTTTGCTTTTTAAACTTTAAGTTATCATTTGTTGCTTTTAGCTAATCTAATGCTAATTTAAGTTTCTAGCTATAGCCTTTCAAAGCTTTTGCTTTCAGTTAGCGCCTTGCCAATTGTACGTAGCCTTTTGCTGCTTTTAGCTTTCAGCTGGTTATCTCCTGTTAGAACAAATCATCTTGTTGAAGTTCTGTTTCTGTAATGACCGGTGCTGTCAGGTTGGTGGTTCTGTCAGTGCGAGACCAAACGAGGATGGGTTCCTGCCTCCTACCTGGAGCCTCTGGACGGACCTGAGGAGGCAGAGGAGGCTGAACCTGACTATGAAGGTAAGAATTGTTCTGTTAGCCAGGTGGCTCCTGTGTGTGTGTGTGTGTTTATTGTAAAGGTTGTGTGTCTGCAGGGGAGCTGCACGTCACTAATCAGGCCTACAAGGCCGAGCAGGAGGACGAGGTTTCTCTCGATGTCGGAGAAACTGTGGAGGTCATTCACAAACTGCTGGACGGCTGGTGGGTGGTCAGGTAAAGTCAAACATTCATTTCATCCAAATTAATTATAATTTATATGTTTCCCCTCGGTTGAATTGTTCCTTTTCTTCTTTCTCGTTTCCAGAAAGGGGGATGAGACGGGTCATTTTCCCTCCATGTTCCTGCAGAAGGCCGACAGCAAGAATGGACCAGTGAGGACCAACCCACGGGGGCAAAAACCTCCTCCACGCAGGTATCACTCATTAAAAAAAACTATTAAAAGTTTTAAAGTGGAAATGTTTGTTGCATAAAAAAGTGCAGATATTAATTAGACACATGCTGGTTTGCACGTAGTCCCTTAACAGGAAGTGCTTCAACGTTTTAACCACGACGTGTGATTTCATGTCTCTTTGTGCAAGTCTTTCTTCATTCTGGATCCGAAATTACATAAAACCAGAAGAGCTTTTATTATTGGACCATGCTAATCGAAAAAAAAAGTTAGCATTTAAAACAACAGAAACAAGTTCACTGAAAGAATTCAGAATTAAAGTCACATGTAACACATTATGTGCAGTTTTTTTTTTCTTTTTGTCGTATGGCTTATTTTATTTTATTTATTTATGTTTTGCTGACAACTGTGACCTTAGTTTCTATCTTTCATTCCTCATGTAGTACTCATATGGAATTAAAATCTCTTAATTCTTGATTTAACCTCATTATTCTGCACAAAATTTAACTGACTCAAATATGTTTGGAACATTTTTTGGTCCTGTTTTATATTCAAAAAATCATGTCTAAGCATCAATTTTGTTTTCTAAATAAAAACATTAAAAACTGATTAATAACTCAAGTAATTTATTTTATCAATATGCAATAAAAATGTATATTAAATTTAAGATAAATCATGATTAGTTCACAGCTACTTTGGGATTAATCAGATTAAAAATATTAATCATTTGACAGGCCTAGTTTATATATCAAGCTTACAAATCTCAATAACAGAAAAACTTAGAATTCATTTGGATATCATGGTTTAAAAATTAAACTAAGGTCAATGGCTGTAGCGGCCATCTTGAATCAGGCTGACAACTACAGTTAAATCAGAACATWCGATTCTGACAGCATGAGTGCTGATAAAGATTTCATTTTTGAATGTAMAAACRGAGCAATGTTGTATATGCKGTTAAGTGCCAGGAGGACTGCGACCAGTTATACATCGGGGAAACAAAGCARCCACTGTTCAAAAGAATGTCCCAACACAGACGAGCTACATCTAATGGCCAGAACTCTGCAGTTTTCACTCATTTACAGGCCAGCGGTCACTCTTTCAGAGATGAGGATGTTCTCATTCTTGATAGAGAGGAACGTTGGTTTGAGAGAGGAGTAAAAGAAGCCATTTTTGTGAAGAAAGACCGTCCATCATTAAACATTGATTTTTTACCTGGATTACTGAGACGCATCAGGACATTTTTGAACAGAATTTGTGTTTGAACTGCATTGTTGACTCATCACACATCTGTCTCAGGTCCACCATCAGAAACGCCAAAAGCATCCACAACARATCCCGTCAGCGGCTCAGCCAGGAGGCGTACCGCAGGAACAGCCGCCGGTACCTGCAGCAGAAGGGCAGCCGCCTAGCTTCGCCTCACCGGAACTCTGCCAAGTCTCCGCTGAGGGAGAGGAAGAATCAGGGTAACGATGACACCGTCTGACGGGTTTCGTGGTAAACCCCGAAGGGCACGGTGTGATTTCTGCTTCTGCTCGACAGATAACATCCCTGAGGTGTCTGGTTCCGGCTCTGAGAGCGAACTGAAGAAGGAGGCTCCGGTCATCCCGCCGAGGCCCAGCGCCGAGCTCATCCTGGAGCGCTGCACCGACAACACCCGCAAGAGGGTCAGCATCCACATGCCAGGCTCCGGATCAACCAGCTAGTGCCGCCGAGTGTGTGAGGATGTCAAAACTGTAGCTCCTGGATGTCATTCTGTTGGGTTTTATCAAACAAACAAAGCTCAATTAAACGGTGGGAAACTGTTTTAACAGAAGATCAGACATTTATGCTGAGAAAAACCTGCAGCTTTCGCTGTACAAAAAAAAAATCTTACCTGTTTACAGTTACTGAAACATTGTTAAAAATACAAACATCCTACATTTCTATTCACTTTTATTTACAAACATATTTAAAATGAGCTTTATTGGTATTTGTTATGACAGTAAAATGTCCTTAATGTGTCATGTTGCTGCTGGTACCACAGTGACAGTAAACATGAACAGATCTAGACCAGAATGCATTGCAAAAACCTGATTGTGAGCATGCAYGTTGTTAAGGTCAACCAGTTTTTTAACTGTGCTCTAAAGATGCAAAACCCTCACCATGAGCTTCATTTGTTTGTCTAAATCCCAAATATTGTTGTGAGCAGTTTGACACAGAAAAAACCAAAATAACTCTCATCCTGCTTTACTTTGAGATGAGTTCAGTTTTGTGCATATTTTTTTCCCTGCTACATAAAATATGAAGCTAAGAAAACAYGTCTGGTAGCAAACTATGAAGCTATGTGTTTGTTTGTAAGTTTTGTTTTTATTTATAAAGCAATAAAAAATCTGTGAAGTTTTGGGAAGTCTTTTTTATTATTATTTTAACATCCATTAGAGGATGAATTTATACATGCAAAGGTTGATTCAGAAGAATTTTAATCAAAAGAATGAGAATAATTTATCACAATCAAAAAATATTATGATTTAGCATCGTTGATTTCAGACTTTGTATTCAAATACAAAAGTAGCAAAGACATACAATTAATACTTTTAAAAGTA